GACATATTCCAACTACACCATAAAGGCATACCATTTCTTAAAGAATTCACCCTGGGGTATTTCAAAAGGCATATTTTGAACCTTAGCATGGAATAATTTTTTCGTTAGTTTGTTCTAAGTGTAGTGGTAATGAGCATTTTTTAAATGTATTTTGTAACTTTTAAAAACTTTTAAAAAATGTTTTTAAAACTTTTTTACTTATTCAATTTTTTAAACTTGTTTATATATATATTTCTTTACGCTTTTAACATTTGTATAAACTTTTTTTTACTGTTAACCCCTAACTAGCCTAACAGTAAATTCCTCAATTTCCCACTAACTCCCACCCACCCAGCTAACTAAATATATCATTTTAAAATATTTAAATTAATTAAATAAATTGAACACCTGAGGGTTAAAATAAATGAATAAACGTTAACCCTCAGGAGTAACTTTTTTTTTTTTACTGTGATTTGTATTTTGATCGCTGCAGGCAGTGATCAACTGGCAGGAAAGTGGTCAATTTTTATTAGGACTGGGTAAATTGGGTGGTATTTTTTTTACTTTTTTAAACGTTATTAAATCTTTTATATTTTTACTTTTTTAAACTGTTTAAAACCTTTTTTAAAAACCTTTTTTTACTGTTAACCCCTAGCTAGCCTAACATTAAATTCTCCAATTCCCCACTAAATTCCCCCCACCCCAACTAGCTAGATAAGTAATTTATAAATATTTAAATTAATTATTTAAATACATTTAACCCCTGAGGGTTAAAAAAAGTTAACCCTCAGGGGTTAAAAAAAAAAAAGATCAGATCACAGTAAAATGTAGTCTCTGCCAATTGTACTCAGTGTAGTCAGTGATCAATTGGCAGTGAAGGGGTTAATTTTAATAAAGCAGGAAAAAGGGGATGGGGATTTAAGTTTATTTATTTTTTAAATGGGGAAGCAGATCAGCACTGATTAGTTTCCCTGCACTTCAAACTGAACGCGGAAGCGCAGGGAGGTGGATCAGGAGTCCCTGCAGAACATGTGCTTGCTCTGACAGCCTGTCAGAGCGATTACTTACAGTGACAGCGCGATCGGGTGCTCCCGGTCTACCTCGAATACTGATCTGGGGTTAACTTTAGTAAATTAAGGACATTTTCCATCATGCATCTTTAACGCAAGGAAAAGCATGGCGGAAAATCCACGTCTTGCGTCGGGAATGGGTTAATTAAGCGACAGTTATTTTGGTGCCTATAGTATCTCTTTAAGCAGTCAACATGTGTTTTTTCAAATAGCATTGAATCACAAAGCTCCTGCTACATTTCCAGAATCTCTTAATTTGTGGCTTGGTGAATGGTGTCGGGAGCAAGGATTTGGCTTTATTTCTCATGGTAGCTCTGTTTGGAATGGAGTTAAGCTGTACAAAAAAGATGGTTTGCATCTTTCTCAAAAAGGAACAAATGTTCTCAGTGAGCAGTTCAGAGATTTTGCTAGGATGTATTTAATCTGGGGGGGGGGCAAAAGGGTGATAAAACATCAATCCAATTGTCCCCCAAAACAAGGACAGAAGGTGCCTGTAGTAATTGTGTTAAAAAATGATAAGCTTAGAGTCATGTCTACAAATGCTCGCAGTTTAGGGAATAAGATCCATGAACTTGTGGCAATAATGGCAACTGATAGTGTAGATTTAGTCGCTGTTACTGAGACATGGTACAATGAGAAAATGACTGGGACATAGCAATACCAGGGTACTCTTTATATAGGAAAGATAGGGAAGGCAAGAAAGGGGGAGGGGTGGCCTTGTATGTGAAGGATAGCATAAAATCTAGCCTAATAAAAGTTAGTGAGGCAAACATAGAGTCCGTTTGGGCTACGTTAGAATTTGGTAATCACACAGTAACTCGTGTAGGTGTGATTTATAGGCCCCCAGGACAAATTGAAGAGTTAGATAATCTACTAGTTGAGGAAATAGCTAAAATGACAATGAAGGGGGAAGTTATCATCATGGGTGACTTTAATCTTCCTGATGTAAATTGGAAAACAAAATTAGCTACTTGTGCCAGGAGCACACATATTCTAAACTCTCTACTGGGATTGTCTCTAAAACAAGTTGTTGAGGAGCCAACTCGTAAAGAGGCCATACTAGATTTAGTGTTAACAAATGGAGATTTGGTACCAGATATTACTGTAGGTGAAAGTTTAGGATCCAGTGATCATCAGTCAGTGTGGTTTAATATAAGAACGGTGACTGAGCCACACCACACAAAAACAAAAGTTTTAGACTTTAGAAAAGCAGACTTTTCTAAAATTATAATATGGGTAGAGGAGTCATTATCAGACTGGAGCAATTTAAATGGAGTCCAAGAGAAATGGGATTATTTTAAAGTTGCACTATTGAAGGCAACAGAAAATTGCATTAGGCTTGTCAGTAAAAGCAAAAAATTCAAGAAACCACTGTGGTACTCCACAGATGTGGCCAAAATAGTTAAAAACAAAAAGTTAGCATTTAGGAATTATAAAAAAACCCAGAGTGAGGAAGACAAAATGATCTATAAGATTAGGCAGAAAGAGGCTAAGCAAGTTGTAAGAGCTTCCAAATCACACACAGAAGAGAAAATAGCACAGTCAGTAAAAAAGGGGGATAAAACATTTTTTAGATACATAAATGAGAAAAGAAAAGTAAAACAAGGATTAATTAGATTAAAAACAAAAGAAGGAAGGTATGTAGAAGAGGATAAAGGTCTAGCTGACTGCCTCAATGAATATTTTTGTTCTGTATTTACAGATGAAAATGAAGGAAAGGGACCTCAGTTGAGAAAAAGGATAAATGAGTCATTTATTACACGTGAGTTTACAGAGGAAGAGGTTCTATTTCAACTGTCAAAAGTAAAGACAAATAAGTCAATGGGACCTGATGGAATACACCCAAAGCTATTAAAAGAGCTTAGTGGTGTACTAGCAAAACCATTAACAGATTTATTTAACCAATCATTGTTAACAGGAGTAGTCCCAGAAGATTGGAAGTTAGCGAATGTTGTGCCCATTTACAAGAAAGGTAATAGGGAGGAGTCGGGCAACTATAGGCCAGTAAGCCTTACTTCAGTAGTGGGGAAAGTGATGGAAACCATGTTAAAGGATAGGATTGATGAACATCTAAAACACATGGATTTCAAGATCAGAGACAACATGGGTTTACTTCAGGGAGATCATGCCAAACTAATCTTATTGATTTTTTTGATTGGGTAACTAAAATTATAGATCAGGGTGGTGCAGTAGACATTGCTTACCTAGATTTCAGTAAGGCTTTTGACACTGTTGCACATAGAAGGCTTATCAATAAACTGCAATCTTTAAGTTTGAATTCCAATATTGTTGAATGGGTAAGGCAGTGGCTGAGTGACAGGCAACAGAGGGTTGTAGTTAATGGAATATATTCGAAGCTTGGACTTGTCACCAGTGGGGTACCTCAGGGATCTGTACTTGGACCCATTCTCTATAATATTTTTATTAGTGATATTGCAGAAGGTCTTGATGGTAAGGTATGTTTTTTTGCTGATGATACTAAGATATGTAACAGGTTTGATGTTCCAGGAGGGATAAGCCAAATGACAAATGATTTAGGTAAATTAGAAAAATGGTCAGAATTGTGGCAACTGACATTTAATGTGGATAAGTGCAAGATAATGCATCTTGGACGTAAAAACCCAAGGGCAGAGTACAGAATATTTGATAGAGTCCTAACCTCAACATATGAGGAAAGGGATTTAGGGGTGATTATTTCTGATGACTTAAAGGTAGGCAGACAATGTAATAGAGCAGCAGGAAATGCTAGCAGAATGCTTGGTTGTATAGGGAGAGGTATTAGCAGTAGAAAGAGGGAAGTGCTCATGCTATTGTACAGAACACTGGTGAGACCTTACTTGGAGTATTGTACACAGTACTGGAGACCGTATCTTCAGAAGGATATTGATACCTTAGAGAGGGTTCAGAGAAGGGCTACTAAACTGGTTCATGGATTGCGGGATAAAACTTACAAGGAAAGGTTAAAGGATCTTAACATGTATAGCTTGGAGGAAAGACGAGACAGGGGGGATATGATAGAAACATTTAAATATATAAAGGTAATCAACACAGTAAAGGAGGAGACTATATTTAAAAGAAGAAAAACTACCACAACAAGAGGACATAGTCTTAAATTAGAGGGACAAAGGTTTAAAAATAATATCAGGAAGTATTACTTTACTGAGAGTGTAGTGGATGCATGGAATAGCCTTCCAGCTGAAGTGGTAGAGGTTAACACAGTAAAGGAGTTTAAGCATGCGTGGGATAGGCATAAGGCTATCCTAACTATAAGATAAGGCTAGGGACTAATGAAAGTATTTAGAAAATTGGGCAGACTAGATGGGCCGAATGGATCTTATCTGCCGTCACATTCTATGTTTCAATGTTTCTCTTTGCTCATCTGATGACCGTTAACTTGTATTTGCAGTTCATATTTCTTATTTACTCTTTTTGCCTCTCACATTTAAAATTTATGAGTTGCTTTTCAGACAGAGAAACTTGGTACCGAAACAAACTCAAATATTTTCTTTCCAAATAAGCACGTTAGCAATGTCATAATATGGGATCATTGCTAAAATCTACAATCATCTGTACCCTAACATTTCAATGAACTTTGTGCAAAAACTAACTTGGCACTTTGTTTGACCTTCACTGGCTTGAGACATAATACAAATTTATCTACTCCGTCTCTACCTCGAGACTTTCGTTAATGAAAAACAAGATATCACTAATGCAAAGTAATTAAGATAATTGCCTTTTAAATAGTACACCAGTAACACAGATATAGTAATACAACATATTTTCTCTTATTATCCCAATTGCTTAATTAAACCAGCTTAGCTTCGACACCTCTAAATGTGTTTTATTTTAGTATAATTTCACTTGAATTAATAATCGTAAGGCTTTTTTGTCATAAATTATTGCATTATCAAGAAAATGTAGGAAAATAACATTTACATCAAAATAAAAAAACATTAATATCGTCCTGATAAAATATTTTTTGTAATACAATTTGCATTGCTTATTTTAGAATACAAGGTAATTACAAATGGTAAAAGAGAAGATGGTGATAGCTACGCCATGCTGATAGCATTATAGGAAATGCTATGTGTGGTCAGAGGAAGGAAAAAAGAAAGAAAGAGTTGGCAAAAGAAGTAGAAGAAGTGATGTGGGGAAAGGATAGACTCCAGACGGCCAGGAGGTGAAGATGAGTTCATCATCCACTGGCGTGGATACCAAACAGATTATAGTAGAAGTAGACCCAAGGTTGATGCATGAGGAGAATAAGTGTGTATATCCGAGGTGACCACATTTTCAGAAAATTCTCAGTAGTTTCATGGGTTGCAGCTGTCAACTTTTCCATTTTAATGAGATAACATTTCTTAGCATCTATCTGTACTTAAGTTGAATAGGCCAACTTCCAGCATCGAGCAGTGCGAATTTGTAAAATGAGTTTGTGCTCAGAATGTGGTTTTATTTTTGTAAATCAACTACATTTGATTGAAGACTCAAATTTTGCTTTATCAATGTAAACTTTAAAAGCAATAAACCATTTTTAAATATGAACTCATTATAATCTCTTATCCTGCCTGTGTTACCTAAATATAAAACATCTAATGACCAACTATCCAAAATGATTTTTATCTACTATTGAATCCAGCAACTCTGGCTTTATCATTAGTTTTCTGTAAAGCACTCATTCTTGATTCACAGATCTAAACCAGAGATACTGACATTTCACCTTGATAAGGAGCAGATCTAGATTAAATAATCCTATGTGGGTAAGACATACCCTCAGGCAGTGAGATGGACCCAGGCTAAATATATACACTTTCTTTTGACAGTAAGACAATACAGCAATAGTCTTGTCTTGTTAATAGTCCGTTTGTAGAAACATTTTCTTTTTGGTAAGGAAGCACATATTAAAAAAAATTAAGTATCTTTTGCTACGTAATTACATGGAGCTGGTAGAATCTTGGAGAGAGTTAGAAAGATAGCTGAGGTATCAGTAGCTGGGGTGAGGGAGCAGCCGTACCCAGCTCAGATGGATGTTAATGAGATATAGTTAAGTCTGTTTTACTGCAAACACAATGCTATGCATTGAGATAAGTTAAAGTAAGCAATTAGTTGGGGCGATGGGGAATATTTCTCAAAATGCTCTGTTATAAAAAGTGGTGAAAAAATGTCAAAGGGGAGGAGTCACCAACGGAATCTGCCTGTTGGTTTTGCGACTTTTGGTCGCCTAACCACCCTTAAGTCCAGCCACTAGAGTTGGAATTAACCCTTTTTCAAAAACTGCAATAATAACCATTGTAGAGTTAATGGACATGGGACATTGCACTCAGGAGGAGGAGAGTAGGCAGAGCCTGGCCCAGCACCGAGGGACATCAGTGCTGGATTAAGGTAAGTGACTGAAGGGGTTTTAACCCTTCTGTGCCGCTGGAGGGGGGCGCGAGGGAGGGTGGCACTGTAGGAACCTATAGTGCCAGGAAAACAGCTTTGCTTTCCTGGCATATAGTATCTTTTTAATGTAATTTGCTAATGCTCAAAACCCACAAGTTAGTGCTTAATTAGTTATTCCACCTGTGAGTCCTTTCAGTGGTTGCCAGTTTTTCTGTAAGGTATGCCAGTAATTATTTTGTGGTTCAAGAGTAATGCAAACCCCTGTATTATGTTGGATGTGTTGGATGTGTTTATCATACTGAAAGGAATGAGTCTATATACAATAAATATATATGTAATACAATAAAAAGAGAAAGACCTAAAAGATTTATTTTTACTTATTTTTAACCACCATTCACTTTACTAAAGCCTGTGCCAGTTTGTTAAGCAACAGACATCTTAAAGGACCCCTATAGACACCCAGACCAATCAGCTCAGTGAAGAGGTCCGGGTGCCAGGTCCCCCTAGTTTTAACCCTGCAGCAAAAAACATAGCAGTGTCAGAGAAACTTCTATGTTTACACTGCAGGGTTAATCCAGCCTCTAGTGGCTGTCTCCCTGACAGCCACTAGAGGCCTTTTCCGCGATTTACAAAGAGTAAATTGCACTTATTTGACGCTTGACGCCCTCATAGACCTCCAGCGTCAAAAAAGATCCCCATAGAAAAGCATTGAGTAATGTTTTCCTATGGGCAGGTTTGAACGTGCGCGCCTCTGACCGCGCATGCGCATTCGGCTCCACTCGGGAGCTGACGTCGATGGAGGAGGAGAGGTCACCAGCACTAAGGGAGCCCGGTGCTGGATTAAGGTAAGCAAATAAATAGTTAACTACTTATTCACCGCGGAACGGGGCCCTAGTCACCATTTAGGTGACTAGGGCTCTATAGCGTTATGGCAAATTTAAACCTATTTAGTTTAGAAAAACGTCGCCTGAGAGGGAATATGATAACATTATACAAATATATTCGGGGCCAATACAAACCATTGTGTGGAAATCTATTCACAAACCGGAATGCGTTTAGACTGGAAGAAAGAAGTTTTCGTCTAAGGCAAAGGAAAGGTTTTTTTACATTCTCTGCCTGAAGCAGTGGTTTTATCAGCGTCCATACAGATGTTCAAACAGCTACTAGATGCATACTTTCAAAAACAGAATATTCAAGGATATAATCTTTCAATGTAGGGTGATAACTGCTTGATCCAAGGATAAATCTGACTGCCTTTCTGGGGTCAAGAAGGAATTTTTTCCTAGCTTGTTGCAAAATTGGAAGTGCTTCAAACTGGGGTTTTTTGCCTTCTTTTGGATCAACAGCAAAAAACAAATGTGAGGAAGGCTGAACTTGATGGACGCAAGTCTCTTTTCAGCTATGTAACTATGAATACATATTTGTATTCCTAACGCTATAGTGTTCCTTTAAGTTCACTGTATGAAATCCACATTTATTCTCTACTTACTTATTTCACAGCTTTAAGATTATTTTATGTTTGGCTTCTCTTGGATTAAATAAGACTGAGAATTGCTTTTGTTTTGTAAGTATTTTGTATATTTCACCCTGATAAAATAACCTATAAACTTACTCTATGTACTGCATATGTTACTATATTGATAAAGCAGACTTACTAGGCATAGTATATTTGACCACCTTTCCATACCAAGTCCATGCTTACACAAACTTGTTGTTGCAAAAGTGTTACACCAACATTTTGTTCTGAAAGGAAAAAAAAAACAAAACAAAAAAACACATTTGGCAAAGCCATTTCACAGTGGGAAAAATCTTACTCCATTCAGATTCTTTAAAGGGTTACACTAACCACAATGACCGCTTTAGTTTTTTGAAGTAGTCATGGTGGTAGGAGTCTGGATGTGAAGTGTTTCTGCTTGAAACACTACACACCCAGAGTAATTTTTATTTGTGTGCTGGGAGCTAGTTGCAATTCTGTTCCGTGTTGCCTAAAGTCAATTCTGTGCATATATCACGTGATGTTGTCAGCGTACACTGCAGGCTGCCGACAGCAAGGGGAAGATAGCTTTCCCCTCCCTTCATCCCTGTGTGCGCACCATCCCATCTCCAGCTGTAACTTGTATAAGTTGTTTTTTTAAAGAAAACATAACTTTTCTTTTAAGTTTACAAATATTATTATTATTATTACTATTATTAATGTAGAGTCACTTAAAAAAGCTTACCTTTACTGTAAAAAAATTACAAACATAGAGTTTGGCAGCAATGTACTATAAAAGACAAACTACAGACGGGAAAATTATTACCTTACACTTGACGCATTTCACATCATATGCAGTGCTCATTTACATTGACATTGTCTTATTTCTATTAAAAATATTTGTTTTCACATTTAAAAAAAAGGCACATATAAAAACAAGTACAGTAAAATTAATGACAGAAATAATTTAACATCTGTCTGTTTTATAAATTGCTGTGACAAACAAAAGCAAACTTTGATTGGTAATAATGGTTGCCATTAATTAGATTTTAATAAATATTTTGCCTACGCACACTGTGCGGGTGTTCAAAATCCTTTTGGCATTGTTTATATAATAGTTATTCAGTTTTGTGCACACACACACTCAGAAATCAAACAAAGGGCTATACAGAGCGATACAAACACAAGCTTTGCGGCTAACAAAGACTGTATTTTTTTGTAATGTCATTTTGAATAACCATGACAATGGTCCGTTAATACTGTGGCCCTTAGGTTAATCAGATAATAATCATGCCGTACCAAGATATTTTGATGCATACTGTATTGCAGAATAGGTATTTTTACTCAGAAATCAGTGCTATGTTCTTGACAAAAATTGTGAAATGTAACAGAGTGAGAATGGAACTTAACCATTTTGGTTTCACAATAACGTATTTAGTTCACCAGCATTCCAATGATCAATTGCACATTTTTGCAAAACATTCCTGAAAGACACAACACATTATAATGTTACATTGTGTATCTATTAAAACTTATATTTGTTATCTATTGAGATTTGAGCTGGAAATCTCATTAGGTGAGAAAATATCTAAACCATATAAAAAAAAAAAAGGCTTTCTCTGACTGTCGAAGAAAATAATCTTGAAATTGTCAATGCTTAAAATGTCACTTCAATTTACTCTTTCACACCGAAGAGCTTATTTAGCAAGATCTAAATATAGCATAAGGTTCATTAGCAATTCAAAAGAGTCATTTTGAAATGTGTTGAATATCAGACCATGTGGTTTGGGAGGATAAAGAAAAAGTATTATAGTACATATGTACATGTATTATAGTGTGCTACTTACGCAGGTGAAAATGTCTAACTTGATCCATATGTATTAATAATGATGTAACTAATTTTTGCCACAACTCTATAGAGCTTTCTGTAGAAGGAATCAGAGTATCCGAGTACCTGGTGTGTTATTAGAAGTTATGGGAAAAAAGCTCAATTGGTTAATGTACTGACTTAAGCCTCATTGGGAGTATAAAGAGCTGTATAACACCGGATATTATCAGTATTATGATTACTGTCTGTGAAATCAGTCTCCACCTTTGGCTGAACCTAGTTTGCACCTCAGCCATGTTTTCCAAGTCAGTTATGAGATCCATATGTGCTTAGGAGGTACATGTGTGAAAATGTCCATCAATATTTAGCATTCACATGCTGCCAGTAAACATAGAAACATAGAAACATAGAATGTGAGGGCAGATAAGAACCATTCGGCCCATCTAGTCTGCCCAATTTTCTAAATACT